AGAGAGAGAGAGAGAGAGAGTGAGAGAGATTGTGTGTGTGTGTACACAGGTCCCCCCGTTGGCCTTCCAGCCCTCCTGATCTGTTTCCCCCCATCCCCAGGGGCCAGGGCCTCCATCCAGGGCTCAACTCCTTTCATATGCCAGGGTGGCGCAGCGCGCCCTTTGGGGGCAGAGCGCCAATGAATGCCATTTCCATTTTCCCACGAGAGTCGAGACTCGAGAGTGTGTGTCTCGGGTCTCTCGCGCCTTGAAGCCGGGCCTTGAGGGGGGGGGGGGGGGGGCTCTGGGGGGGCGCGGGGGCCCCCAGAGGCACACCGTGCGCCGCGCCGCAGTGCGGAAACGGGGCTCCGGCTCCGCTCGGATATAGGGATATAGGCTCAAACGCCTCGTGCTCGTAGGTCTTCGTGAGAACGAGGATGCGAGCGAGCCATCAAAAGTGCTGCCGTCGTCGACGACATACATCCGCCCGTTGGAGAAGCAGAAAGCAGACGGAGACTGCACTCCATCGACAAGCACCTCGCGCAGGTACTCGCCATCGAGGGACGTGGAAGCAGTTGTACAACTCGTCGTGCACAGAGTCCATCACGAAGAGCTCGTTGGCGAACACAGCCAAGTCACGGACGTTCTCCAAACGATCGGCGCCGAGTCGGAACCGCTCCTCGAGCGTCAGAGGGTCATAAGAGGCCACGTACTCCTGGCACCCTGCATCCATTACGTTGGCAAAGAGCGTGCCGTCGGGCGCAGCAGCGACGGCAAAACAGCGCTCGCCCACCTCTGCTAGCGTGAGCAGCGCTCCATCGTCGGTTAGCTGCAGGCGACGAAGCCCGTCGACTCGTACAACCCGAGCTCCGTTGCAAAGAAACTGCTCTCGCGATCACGTGCAATGGACCGCAGCACCTGGAAGCGAAACGCGGTCGAGGAGAAGCAAGCGCGTAGTGCTGTCGTTGACCGCGCTGACGTATAGCCTCTCCCCATCCGGCTGCACCGCCAAATCAAGGATCTCTGCGATATTCTCCAGCGGCGGCGGCGGCGTCGGCGCCGGCCGCAGCCGGGCCGCCGAGCGACGGTGGCCTTCCAAGCGCCCCAGCTTTCTACAGGAGCGACGATTGTGGCACCGGTGGCAGCGACGGCCGGGCCCACGCCGAGCCTTTCTTGGCCGCGGCAACATCCTCAAGCCCCAGCTTTCCGACGATGACGGGCGCCAGGTCGGGCGAGAGCAGCACCTTTGAGAGCGCCCACTCTGGCGTCGGAGCGTGCACCGCGATGCGGCGGTCGGCCTCGTTGCGCAGCGCCAGGCTGGCGGCGGCAGCTTGTGCTGCAAACTCTACGAGCTCCTCGTGCGGCAGCCTCTTCAGGCGGAGGGCGAGGCGATCCATCGACCAGCGCGGCGAGGCCGGCGGTGAGGAGTCAGCCGAAGCGAGGGAGCCTTGGTTTGGACTTTCTGCGGGGTATGGTAACCTGGGTGCCTCTGTGGTATGGGCACCCCCCGCTCGAACACCCGCTCGAACAGCTTCCCAAGGACCGGCGGGGGGCCGCTCCTCAATGCCTCCCTTCACGCTCTGGCTCGCCCCGCCGCCGCGGCGGATCATCACCGACGGCGCACAGCGTCCACAGTCGGCCGTCGCGCCGGCGCATTCGGCTGAGCAGCAGGCTCCCGCGCCGCGGGCGGCGGCAGCATGGCTTCTCGGCTTCAACCACGGTGCGCTGGGCCTGGGCTACCAGTTGGAGAACTTTGGCTAAAAGTGCTAGTGAGCTGTGCAAATACTCGTGGAGTGGCGACTTTTATAGTGGCATTACGTGATCAACAAAGTACGTTATTTGTCGGGTTCCGTGTCTGGTTGGCGACAGAGTAAAGTTCACCTTAGAAAGCATCCCCAGGTTTACATCCGCTACTCGGCCATACTCAGTGCTACTCCCACATGATCAGTGCTCTGTCACCGCACGTCTCGACTTGCGACAAGGCACTCGCGAGGCACAACACGGTGCGCGCCAGGATGCGCGTCTCTCGTCGTGAGAGAGAGTGCAAAGAGAAGAGAGTGCCGGTGCAGCTGCACTGGTCCGTCTATCTGCCCCTCCCCAACATGTGGGCGGCGCGAAGCGCGAAGCCAAGCGGGCAGAGGGAGGAGCACGAGACCGCAGAGTGAACCGCCGGGGCGGGCGCCTGGAGCGGCTGCCGGCTCCGCTGATCGCGCACTAGCACATGAGATAGGTCGTCTTGTTGCTGCCACCTTTGCATTCGTACGGTCCGTCCCCGTCGGCTGTGGACGGAACGTACTTGCAGGGCATTGCAAAGTTGTCCTGCTGGATGTAAATTTCCGTGCACTCTGCTTGGTCCGCCTCGATGTAAGTCGGATCAGTGCTCCAATCAAGTGCCTGGCCGCACCAGTCGCCGTTGGTGACGGGGGCGGCCAAAACCACAAAGGAGGGGACGCCACAGGCGCCGTTACGGAGCGTGTACTTTTGGTACGACGAGTCGAGGCAGTGCATACCCGTCGTGGCCTCGCTCGGATCGGCGGAGTCGAACTCCACCTCCACGCAGGCCGTGCCATCGCAGCAGTCATCATCGGCACGGCACGGGTCGCCGCCAAGCCCGGGGGGGGTGCAGGGGATTGCGATTGGCGTCGGGAGCGGTGTCGGCGTTGGGGCTGATGGAGGCGGGAAGGGCGGCGCGGGAGCGAGGCCGGGCGGAAACGGCGAACAGTCATAGGCGCGTTCCCCGGTCTTGCACTTCTCATTGCCCGATTGGTTGTAGACGCACTCTGCGGTCCACGCGCCCCATGGGTTGGTCTGCTCGTTGTAGGGCTTGACGACATAGTAGCTTTCGCACGCGGTTTTGTTTCCGTTGTACATGTAGCACTCGCACGCGGTTTTGTTTCCGTTGTCCAGGTAGCACTGCAGGGGCAGGGGGTGGGAATCAGCGTCAGGGAGAGATGTCGTGTCATGAGTGGACGAGGCGACGAGTGGGCAGGTTGGGATGGGAAGCGTGTGCGCGTGTGAGCGCGTGAGCGCGTGAGCGCGTGTGCGCGTGTCCGCGTGTCCGTGTGTGCAGCGGTTGTGCACGCGAGCCTCTTTCGAGTTTAACGCTTCCCTCCCCTCCATCCACGGTTGAACAAGTCCACAGGGGGCTGGTGGGGCGGGAGGTGGAGGCGACGGCAACGGTAAAGGGTCGTTGCAAAGAGTGATGCTGGAGCAATTAATTATCTCCGCCAGTGTAGGCGGAGGAGGCATGGAAGGAGGCCCTTGCGCTTCGCGACCGTAACCAATTTCGAGCGGAGGAGGCATTGAAGGAGGCATGCATGAGTCCGTGCAGCAGTTTACCTTCATGACTGCGATACGCTCCGGACTCTGCCGGTGGTGGCAGGCAAGCTCCTGACAGCAGCTTGCGCTGTAAGCGGTGCACTCTCCTTCCACAAACTGCGGGCCCTCGGGGGGGCACTCTCCTTCCACGCCGCTGAAACCTGTGCAGCTGCCGTGTGCCGAGCAAGTGCGAGGGCACACGTTGCGAAAGACGGAGCACCCGCCGTAAACCCTGGTCGCGGTAGCCAGAATGGTTGCTCCTGGCACTTGGTGACAACTCATTTCCGGGAGGCCCAGGGCACGTGCGAATGCCCTTACCTCCGTGTCAGGCGAGTCCGGGCCTGCCCGGCAGACTTGAAACGATCCATCTGGCCTAGCCGTCGAAGCGAACCCAGCAGCAGTGGCTGCCAGCGCGAGCACGGCGACAACGCGCAGCATATGGAGCTCAGCGACCAGCTGGTCCGCGGCCGCCCGAGATTAGCGGAAAGTGCCCGCCCCGCCTCAGGCGAGCTTGGTGTTGCCGTTTCGTATCTAGATACCCCCTCTCATTCGAATGAAAATCAGAGAGAGGCGCTCGCCCCACTCTCCGGCTGCGCGGTGGCGGCGTGCCGTCCTCCCATCCCTCCCTTGGGTTTTATGTTTTCTTTCTTTTTTTTCGGCTGCGCGCCTGACCTCTCGGGCGGGGTAATGCCGGCGGGCCCCCAATATGGGGCACGTCCAGGTCCATTCGACGAGAGCGGCCGCCCTCCTCCCCCTCCGCCGGCGCCGCGCCGCCGGGGAGAACTTCCTCCTCCATTGGGTCTGACCAGCCTCGACGGCGAGCCTCCTCCTCCGCCTCCTCCGCCGAGCAGGGCCGCCCATCCTCGCCTAGCAACACCGTAGGAGAGCGAGGGGCCCCGCCCCCCGCCTCCGCCGCAGCGGCCGCCCCGCCCGCCGTCGACAACCCCGTGGTCACACTGGAAAAGGGACGGAGCGCCGGCGCCGTCGAGACGAACTCGGGCGCATGCACGCCGGCGGTCGCGCAAAGTGGGCACGTCCAGGGTCATCAGCAGCGAGCGAGGGCGGGCCGCCCTCCTCCCCCTCCGCCGGCGCCGCGCCGCCGGTGGAAACCTCCTCCACTGGGTTGGGCCGCTCAGCAGCCAAACCCGCCGCGGGCCCCTTCTCGAGCCCTCCCCCGCGACCCCTGGCGCCACGGCCGCGCCGCCCTCGGCGGCGCCGCGGCGCCTTCCGCCCGCCCTCGACCTCCTCCTCCCCCCCCCCGGCAGCGATCGTACCATCGCCACTCTCCGGCAGCGCGGGCTCCAAGGGGTCCAAACTGGATCCCTCGGTCCCACCTCCGGACCCACCTTCTGCGGCCTGCGCGTCGCAGGCACCGCCGTCCGCCTCTTGGGGGCGCGCGCCGCCGCGGCCCTCGCCGCCAGCCGCTGCCCCGCCACCAGCCGCCTGATCGCCAGCCGCCACCCCAGCTGGGGTGTCGCCCAGCGACAAGCCGCTGAGGGATGCCAAGACCGCAGCTGTGTCCCCCCAGCCCCGCCGGCCGAGAAGAGCCCGGCGGAGCTTCTCCGCCTGGCGGTCGTGGATGTTGAGCGAGCCGATGCCCTTCTCAGCGACCTCCTCGAGGAGGTCGCCAGCGTCGCCAACGCCCAGCTCCGCGAGCCGCCCCTCATACCTGCGGTAGAGGTTGTCGGCGACGCGCGCGCGCTTGAACAGAGCCGCGAGCGGCTCTCCCAGGTCGATGGCGGGCGAGGCCGCCATCGAAGGCCTGGTGCCCGGCCGCGTGGCCCCCGGGCTGCGGGTGGGTGCTCGCTGCGGCGGCCGCCGAGAGGGCAGAGAGCGGCGGCAGGCCGCCGGGGGACAGCGAGCGAGAGGAGAGGGCGACTCCGTGCACTGCTCGAGCGCGCAGATTGTACACCTCGAACCACCAGCCCGACGCTCACTACAAGTGACGCCCTCTACGCTTCTCTACGCTTCCAACACATGCAGCAGGGCCAGGGCGGTGTGCCGACATGCAGCGACTGCGCCGCCTCCTGCCGCCTGCTCCGCTCGCCGGGCTTCAGCGCCACTGCTTTGCTGGCGTCGTCGGCTTTGCGGGAGGCGCCACGCTAGGCCTTGTCGGGTGGGGCGGCGGCCAGATGATCATTCCAGGGATGACGCACCAGTACATGGCGCTCAACCAGCTTGCGGCCACGGGCGTCTCGCTCTTCTCCCTGTCGCTCTCCAGCATCAGCAGCTCCGTGCGCTTTGCGACGAGCGACAGCGCCTGCCTGGTCACCGCAGCCTCGATCGCGATACCGTCCATCGTCACGGCGCGGTTCGGCACGCAGCTAGCGAGCCGGCTGTCAAACGATGCGCTCGAGTTCGCCTTCAACAGCCTCTCGCTGGTGATGATCCCGACCCACCTCTACATCCAGCAGCGGCGCCACGCCCAGCAGCTCGCGCAGCCGCCTCCTCCCACGAGCACGGGCGCAGCCGCCGCCGCCGCCGGCGCGCCCGCCGCCACCGGCGCGCCCGCTGCCGCCGGCGCGCCCGCCGCCGAGCGGCTGCCGCTTCGGCGGCGATCGACGGCGCGGTGCACGCTCACGAGTCATCGGCACGCCTCCGGGGCGGGAGGGGAGACCGGACAGCGCGTGCCGGAGCCTCGCGCCGACAGCTGGCCAGCGCGGCTCGCAGCTGCGGCGCGCGAGGTCCGGCCGCTCGACGTGGCATTCGGGTGCCTCTCCGGCGGCGTGTCGGCGCTGATGGGGGTGGGCGGCCTCCCCTTCACGATGTCGTACCTCACCGCGTGCACCGACTTGCCACACCACCTCGTGCAGGGCACCGCGCAGTGCGCGTGCGCCCCGAGCGCGCTCACGTCGGCGGTGAGCAGGATACACGCGGTGCCGCTGGGTACAGCTGCGGCGGTCGCGGCGGGCGGTGTGGCCGGTGCCACCGCCGGCGCGACCGCCGCGCTGCACCTCTCGGAGGAGCGGCTGCGCGAACTCTTCATGCTCAGCCTCCTAGTCCTCGGGGGCAGCGCCTGCCGCCGCGCTGTGATCAACCTGCAGAGCATGTACCGAAAGAGAACTTAGGGGCGTCCGTACACACACGTGTTGTCTCTTTACAAAAGCTGTCACACAGCGCTCGCGCGACAAGAAAACGACAAACATGAAACAACGCCATCGCCAACGAGCGACCACCAGTCGCGGACGGCGCGGGGTGGTGTGTTAGAGCCGTGTTCGAGCGATTTAATGAGCCACTGTGCACTGATGGTGGTGTGATGAGAGCCACAACCCACATCAGCCGCGCGCCGCGCGGTGGCCAAGGGTTCCTCTCCGTCAGTGTGGCCATAGCGTGCAGCACGGCGGCCTCGGGCCTGCCTCGTGGGCGTGAGCAGGTGCCCGCTGCATCCCAATCATTCGCACATAGCACTCGGAGACGGGAGCCCATCACATAGTCAAAGCACAACCAGGTCGGAGCAATAAAAGCGATTAAATCGACGCGGGGCGGAGCCTCGCTCGATTCCCCAAGGTACAAGTAGGCCGTATGATTGGCCGTTTGGCCGTGCAGATAGACAGACGAGGGGCGTGTGTTTGAGGGAGGGGGAGGGGGGGGGGGGGGGGGGGGTCGCCGAGCGCACGGCGAAAGGGAAAGGGTAGGCTGGGCGTGCGCGCTTCTGACGGGGGGTGCTGTCGGCGACGTTGGATCACATGAAGGTGAAGTCGGAATCGACGGGCTGCGCATATCCGACAGCCGGCTGCTTGTACGCCATCATCGGCTGTGCAAATACCACGGGCAGGGTCGGCCTCTGCGTACTCTGAGGCCAGGGGGTGCGGGGCGAGACCGGCGGGCGGGAGCGCGACACGTCGCCCAGCGGGGTTTTCGTGCGAAATGTCGCCGCTGGACGCGGGCGCCTTTCGGGAGGCGCAGATCCGGAGAAGGAGGCGCACGGCATCGGAGGCAGCACCACAATATCGCGCGGCATCATTGGCGCAGGTGCGGGCGTAGGGACCGCAGGCGCAGGGATGCCGTCTAGCGGCATGGCGCCACAACCTCGAAGGTGCGCCACAACCTCAGAAAGCCCTCTGGTTTTGACACCCTGCGAGGCGAGCCTCCGCTGCTGGGCGATGAGCCAACGTCGGCAGCAGCCCTCCGCGGTCTTGCCGGGAAGCATGGCCTCGATGGCCTTCCACTGCATTCCAAAGCTCACCGCACGATCAATCAGCTCATCTTCCTCTGGCTGCCACATGCAGTGCATGTCTCCAGGGCGGGCGGCGCCAGGAGCGCCGCCCGCGCGGCCCACGCGGCCAGGACCGACCGCGCCGGGGGCGCAAGCCATGCGGAGCACATCGGCGGAGCTCCTCTCCGGCAACACGCCGGCTGCGCTCGCGGCGAGGCCCAGCGATTCGTCATAGCGTGCTTCAGAGGAGGGGCTCGAAGAGGCACTCGTGCTGGGCAGGTGGAGCAGTGCAGTTGCGACAGAGGCGGAGCTGCTCGCAGCCGACGGCGGCCGCGCGTTGCTGGGAGCGCCCGGGGCGCTTGGGCACGCCCGGTTCTGCAGCTCTTTCCACCGATCGCGCACCGCTTGCTCGTCCCGGAATTTGGGTAGCTGCTCGGCAAGTTCGCCCCAGTTGCAGCGTAGGCCGAGGCGCTGGTACTGCAGCGCAGACTGCTCGATTGTCAGGTCCTCCTCGAGGGTCCACGGCGCCTCGGACGCATAGCTCGGTCGCGCGCGTTTGCCGCTGTCGGTCAACACCTCTGGGAGCCACTCATCATCGTCTGACGCCTCGGAACAGCGGACGAGGTTCCTGATGTCCTCCATGCTCAGGTCGACTCCATCGTTTGCAACCGCGGCGGGCGCGAGCGAGGCGCTGGCAGTCCAGGTGACCCGCCCCTTGCTCCCCCCCGAGGCGGACCCGCCCTCCTGCACGATGGAAGGGGGGACTTGCATGTGCACAAAAGGGCCCTCTCCTGGTGAGCGATGGCTGTAAAAGCGAAACTACTTGGGCACAGACTTGCGGCCGACGGCTGGGGAGCTTTGCGCGCAATAGTAACTTTAAACGCAAAACCGAGTTGCATTCATGAATCGCCATCGCTCATCGCCATCGCCAGGGCGCGCCGGTTCGGGCAGGGGGGGGAGGGGGGGGCGGGGGGGGGGGGGGTTCCACCCCGCTTTCTCTCTGCGCTCTCTCCTTTCCTCTCTCGTTGGGAGAGAGAGAGAGATTTTTAGCAATACCAAACAAATCTAACACCGGCATTTGGTTGGTTGTTCCCCGTGGCAGGGGGTACTATGGGAGAAAGGGGAGAGGTAGCTCTTTCTAACCATCCCTGAAGGTGCCTTGGGTTTTTACTTGGGTTCTCTGTTTTGTTTCTTTCTTTTCCCCGCCTGCTGACGGGGTTTGCGATGAGGAGCGACCCGAAGGGTGTCTGTGTCGGTCGGGGTGAGTGAGTGTGTGTGTGTGGTTTCGTATCAAGAATACTCACTCAGTCACTCACTGTGTCGGGGTTTGCTCCTCTCTCTCTCTCTCTCTCTCTCTCTCTCTCTCTCTCTCTCTCTCTCTCTCTCTCTCTCTCTCTCTCTCTCTCTCTCTCTCTCTCTCTCTCTCTCTCTCTCTCTCTCTCGCTCTCTCGCTCCCTCACTCTCTCTCACTCTCTCACTCTCTCTCTCTCTCTCTCTCTCTCTCTCTCTCTCTCTCTCTCCTCTCTCTCTCTCTCTCTCTCTCTCTCTCTTTCTCGCTCCCTCGCTCACTCACTCTCTCACTCTCTCTCTCTCTCTCACTCTCTCTCTCTCTCTCTTTCTCTCTCTCTCTCTCTCTCTCTCTCTCTCTCTCTCTCTCTTTCTCGCTCTCTCGCTCACTCACTCACTCACTCTCTCTCTCTCTCTCTCTCTCTCTCTCTCTCTCTCTCTCTCTCTCTCTCTCTCTCTCTCTCTCTCGCTCTCTCTCTCGCTCGCTCGCTCGCTCGCTCGCACGCAGTTTTCTTTTTCTGTGGGCACCTCTCCGGCACGGCATTTGGCTGCCTTCACCGCGCTCCCTTGAGCTTCCGCCGATGCTCACGTTCGCCGCCATCTCTAGCGGCGTTGCCGCTCCGTTGCCGTCCCGCTACGGCGTGCGGCCACGGATGGCGCTCGAGGCTGCTGCGCCAGTCCTCAGCGCGCTGGAGCCTGCCGTCTCGGCCGTCCAGTTCCGTCTCGAGTCGATCGCCTGCGCCGCTCCCGCCGCAGTGGCCGTGCTGGCCTCGCGGTCCTCGTCTTCGGTCCCGCAGATCGTCAACCTGCTCTCAAAGCGGAGCCCGAACGAGGCTCCGCTCACCCACTGCGGCGCCTTGCACTCTGAATGCCGAATCACCTTCCTGGCCGTGCCTGCTGCAGGTGGCCTCCAAGTGGGGAGCGCGCGTCTTTTACGGCGACGCCCTCGTCTACCTCTCTCGCATCGTCTACCACCTCCAGCGCGACTTTCCGATCGCGTGCTGGTCCGAGCTGGTCCCGCTGATGCTCCAAAACCTCCTCTGCTTTGTGATCGTGCGGCGGAGCAGGGCCAACGAGCCGGAGCACGGTCCGGAGGAGTAGTAGTAGTGAGCAACCTTATTCCGAGATGGATCGGACCCCTATCCACGCCCAAGCGACTGGCGACAGGAGACGTGGATGAGGGCGCGCCCAAACCGGTCGGCGCAAAGTGCTGGTCTCGCCCGGCGTGGGCGCGCCGGCTGAGCTTCAACATCAAGTTCTCGCTCGACATCGGCCTGCTCCTCCTGGCGACTCTGGCGATGTTCCGCCTGCCTCCGCGCCTGCTCCCGCTCCTCTGCCTGTGGAGCGCGCCGCTCTGCATCAGCTCGCACGGCACCTAGATGCGGGATTGGGACACACACACACGCACATGCACATGCAGCATGCACATGCACATACATGCACATGCACATACATGCACATGTGCATGCACATGTGTATGTGCAGCATGCACATGCACATGTGCGTGTGCATGTGCATGTGCCCGTGTTTCACGCCGGCGCTCGAGGCGAGCGTGACGCATTCGCTGTATTCCGGTCGCAATTCCACGTCGCATTCAGCAGCCCTCACAGCCCCGCGCGCCGACACCGTCCCAGGTACGGCGTCCAAATCGTCGAGGCCTTCCGGAGGGGCTCGTCCCCCTCCGCCAACCGCGCGCGCGCCCTCGTGCTGCGGTCGAGAGACAGCCGAGAGACAGCCGAGAGGCAGCCGAGAGACAACTGAGAGGCAGCCGAGAGACAACGCAGCCGAGATACCAGCCGGGAGACAGCCGAGAGACAGCGACGATCGGGCAGCCGAGAGACAGCCGAGAGACAGCCACGATCGGGCCGAGGCTTAGCCGAGAGACAGCCACACGATCGGGCCGAGGTTTAGCCGAGAGACAGCCACGATCGGGCCGAGGTTTAGCCGAGAGACTAGCCTCGGCCAGGTGGGCGGGCTCCCTGCTCCGCGTCTGGACGACGGCGCGCTTCCTCGCCGGCGACCGCGCCGCCATGACCACGCACGCGATCGGCTTCGCCGGCTGCTCCATCCTGCTGCTGCAAAGGGCGCTCTACGAGCGGCGCGGCCCGTCGCGGCTGCAGACGCGGCTCGCCGTGTACGCCGAGCTGCTCGGCCGCGCGCCGCCGCAGCGGAGGCTGCCACGCGCGATCGACGACGCGCTCCACGCCGCGTGGCACTCGCTCGGCTGCTGAGTAGGGTCAAGGTGTATGACTTGCTGGCGGGTCGATCAATAGGCGCTCCACGCGTGGCGCTCGCTCGGCGGCTTTGGCGGGCTCGCGCCGCCAGACTCGTCCGAGCTGCTGCTGAGCCGGCGAGCCTTCGACCTGATGGACGAGGACGGGGACGGCTTCCTCACGCCGGACGAGCTCACGCGCGCGGTGCTCGAGCTGAAGAAGCGCGCGGGCGGCGCGCACACGCGCGACGAGGTCGAGCGGCTCGTGCAGCGCATGATGCTCGTCGGAGACAGCGACGGCGACGGGCGGATCGACGCAGAGGAGTACCGCCGCCTCGTCCGCCAGCCCTTCCCGTCCGACGCGCAGTAGAGCGCGCCCGGCGCCCGCCGCCCGCCACCCCACCACCACACTACGTTGCTGGATCGGCTCGGGTTGTAGCGGGGCGCGCTTGTCAGTGCGCGATGCGAAACGGCGTACGGCGGGTTGTGTGCCGCGTGACGACGACGAGAGAGGCCCGGAGTGTGTTTTGGACATACGTCGTACACATTGTATTTTGTATTACATCTGCGTGGACCGCGTTAGAGCCGTACACCAGTCCTCCGCTACCTCCAGCGCGGCCAAAGGAAATCAACCTCGAGAACCTAATACCTTATGAGTGATATGCGGCTTTTGCTGAAAAGAGTAAGATCCTCGGGCAAATCCAAATGCCGAAATGTGGATGGAAGGAAGGACATCCTCCCGTTGAGGTAAGGTAAGGTAAGGTAAACGTCTCCACACACACAAAGTGGTGGGGCAAGGGGGGGCGACCCTCGCATCTCCACGCCCGGGACACGGGCAGGAGCCCCACGGCATTCAAAGTGCAAGCACCGGCCCGGTGCCGTGGGTGAGCAACCTGCACCCCACTCCCTCCCTCCCAGACACAACCCGCACAACCCCCACAGCGTGGTCGTCTACGTGTTCAGAAACACCACGCAGCGAGGCGAGGGTGAAGGGGTAAGGGGCTGTGTGGGCAGAATCTTCATCCGGCTTATCTGTGACTACTCCATCTAGCCTGGGGGGTCGCAGGGGGGGGGGGGGGGGGCAAAAGGGGTAAAATATGGGTGAGGCCGTTGATTCCCCGGGTTGTCTGATTCCTAGACGCTAGGGTGGACGAAGTGCAATTGGAGGGCGGTCACACTGGAGCGACGCACAGACACAATAGGCTCAAGACACCGCTGGGCAGTCACAACAAAAAGAATACACACCTGGTTTTCGATGCGTTCCCCCAACCGTGTCGCTTCTCTCTCGTTGGTCTACTGCCTTTGGCCGTGTGACAGATAAGCCGTCGCCCGTGAGCACCTTGATGCCATGGCACCGGAAGCAGTGAACTGGCCTGTCGTCTTCACGATGCTTTTTGTCATCATGTGCGACGCACTCAACCAGCTCGTCGTCTTTCCCTTCCTGCCGTTCATGATCCGAGACCAGCTGGAGCTCGCTCCGGACGACCCCAAGCTTGGTAGTCTAGCTGGGTTTGCCGCCGCGGCCTACAATGCCGGGCAGTTTCTCGGCGCACCGCTGTACGGCACCGCCGCCGACCGTCTCGGGCGCAAGCCGGTGCTGCTCGTGTGCCTGATGCTTAGCGGGCTGTGCATCCTGGGCTTTGCTATGTCGAGCTCCTACGCAATCTCGCTTGGGATGCGGTCGGCGCAAGGGTTCTTCTCTGGTGCTGTCATCGTCGGAAAGATTGTTTTGTTCGACGTGACCACCCCTGCGACTGAGGCTCAGGTGTTTGGTATGATCGGCCTCTCCTTCGCCTTCGGCTACATGCTCGGGCCGACCATCGGAGGCGTGCTGGCGCAGCCGAGCGCACAGTACCCGGCCCTTTTCGGCGGGGTGGCACTGCTCGAGGCGCACCCGTATCTGCTTCCGTGCGCAGCGACATTTGCCTTTTCAATGGTGGGGCTGGCAGGCTCGCTCCTTCTCCTGCCGGAGACCCACCCGAGGCTCGGCAAGGGCGCCGCGCCCTCTAACGCCCGCCCTCTCCTCGGGCTCGACCGGCGCACACCGAGCCGCGACTCGCAAGTGGCCGGCGTCGCGGCCGAGCTCGCGACGTGTCGTCCGTCGGTCGTCCTCGTCGATCCGCTAGTGGGCGGCGACGTCGGCGTGCGCACTTCGGTGAATGTCGTGGTGGCTGAGGTCGTTTCACGGATTAGTGGCGGCAGCTCAGTTAGTAGCGGTGGGAGCTGCTACCGTCTGTCACGGATTAGTGGTGGGGGGGGCAGTTCAGCTGGCAGCGGTGGAAGCTGGTGGTCTCTCAGCGGAAGTGGGCGCAGCGAAAGGGAGATGCCCGCAAGCGTGGAAGGGTCAGTCACCCCGCGGATGTCGGCGGAGAGAGGCACGGAGGAGGGCGAGGCGCCAACGCTGTTGACGACAACCTTTGTCCGCCTGCAGCTCTCGGTGATGATCTTCTGCGCGACCACGGCCGGGCGCGCAACCGTCGCCCCGGACGCTCGCGCATGCAGCGCAACCTTTCATACGTGTGCGTTTCGCGTGTGCAGGTACGTCGAGACGCTGCCCGTGTGGCTCGCTACGCCCGTCTCGGGCGGCGGCCTCGGCCTCTCATCCTCCTCCATCGGCGTGCTCACCGCCGTTGGAGGCTTCTCGCTGTTGCTCACCTCCGTCTCCACCGGCTTCCTACTCGGCCGCTTTGGTGGAGCCTACGTGCTGCACCTCGGCTATGCGCTCAACGCGCTGAACTCGGCCGGCCCGCCGCTCATCGCGTTGCTCCTCGGCTGGTGGGCCGCTGCGCCGCCGCTCCTCCCCGTCGCCATCCTCGTCGTGTGCTGCTGCATGAACATGGCGAGCAAGTCCTTCGCCTTCACCGCCGTCACGATGCTCTCCAAGGGCTGCGTACCGCCGGCCGTGCAAGGCCTCGCCCTCGGAGTGAACCAGTCCTGCTCTAGCACCGGACTCGCCCTCGGCCCGCTTGCCTGCGGCGTGGCCTACTCGGCAACCGTCGGCCTCGTCGGCCCTCAGTGGGGAGCAGCGGTCTTCTTCCTGGCGCTCACGCTCGTCGGGCTCGGGGCGAACATGCTAGCAATAGGCATTGATTCCAACACCTGACCCAATGGGGGCGAACCGAACCTCTCTGCTGCTCGGCTGCGCCGGTTCGAGTATTGAGTGGCGCACGAAGAACGGCAACGGGCCAGGATATGGGGTACGGATTGTTGATGTTCTTGCTTACCGACTCAAGCCGGGCGGGCCGGGGAGCGGGGACGCCGGGGAGGGGGGGGAGCGGAGTCCGGAGAGCCAATCTACTTAATCTAGAGCGCGCCCGCTGGCAGGGACAGGGCGTCGGGGGGTCGCGCCATCTCCCGGGGTGATGTGGGTTGTGTTAAAATTTTAGTTGGCGCTTACTACTTACAAACATCAACTCGTGCTCTCCAACGCAGTCAAGCCCGAGCACTCAAAGACGGTCTCGTGCTCGTCTCTCTGGGTGAGCAGAGGCGTGTATCGCGCGCCTTCCTGAAAAGCTCGGGAATGCCCAAAGCTCGCGTACGCCAAAGGCTAGGAGACTCTGCGCCAGCTCCAGCTTGCTGACCGCGGGTCCGCCCCACGAGCAGCATTTCCAATGTCCGTGCGATTTGGCTGCGCGTGCCGATGGGCTCGCCATCTCGTCATCCTCCTCGTCTCCAGACTCGCCCAAGGCCATCACACTCGCCGTTTCCGTGTTCAGCAGGCGCATGTCTCGACACCAGCTCGGCCGGCATGCCACACTCGGGAGTCCCGAGAAGGGGGACACTGCGAGGCGCACGTGGCTTCGGTGAGCCAGGAGCTGCGCCTCACTAACGGTCACGCTGAGCTTCCACTGAGCTTGCCGGATGAGAAGCAAGATGCTGCGGTTCGCCCACGATCTGTCCGCCGACAAGAGGCGGGGGCTGCACAGAGCGCCATGAGTGCGCTGCTGGACAAGCTTGCACTCCCCAATCGTTGTACTGGCATGTGGTCTGGATTGCGAGGGTAGCTGTCCCTTTCGGAGGCGCTGCAGCCCGCGGCGATTGCTCCCATGCGCCAGAGTCAGCAGCGAGCGTTGATGACTGAGCAGGACGTGGTCGCCGAGCACTGACGCGAGTATCGTGCCACCTATGTCAATGAGAGAGCACGGGGACCTCACAATAGCGCCCTCCGGCACTCGGCCAGGAAACTTGAGGAGCATGGGGACACGCCGAACGCCCTCACGCATACGCGTTCCTTCGTCGACCTTTTCGACCATCCAGCTCCCGGTCTGATGGCGCTTCGGGAGGGCGCCGTGGTCGCTAGTAAAGATGCTCAGCGTTGACTCTGACAGCCCAAGCTCCTCGAGTGCTGTCATAACCCTGCCGATCTGCTCGTCGACTCGAGCAACCATGGCACGGTAAACTGCAACCACGAGCGACTTTTGCGTGAGATCTGAACGCGGTCCGATGTACCTCTGCTGGACGCTCCACGGCGGATGCGCTCCTTCGAAACTCACGCTGAGGAAGAAGGCGTCCTGCCCAAACGCTCGCAACGCGCCCGCAGCTTCCTCTGCTAGCCTCTCGTCAGAAGATCTCGTTCGCGAGCTGATGTCTATGGACGATCTGAGAGGAGAGTTGTCGCCCTTGCCCGCCCCAGCGGGTTTCGGGTCGATCCATCGAGTTTGGCTCACGTTGCCAGCACACCAACGTGCGAGTTTCTCAGCGGATACACGGTAGTAGAGAAAGTCACAGGCGCCCAAAGGCTGCTGAGTGCCCGCGCACGCCGGAGCGTTGCGGGCAGCTGGCTGCCCTCTGAACGACGATGCGACGCGCATGCGACGTTCGCCGCAGTGGACCAGCGGAGGAGCCGTGTTGTCCAAGGCGTGCAGTCCATACCGCTTTGCATCGGTCCTGGACGGCCACACGGGGGAGCACTGCGCGTCTCGATGCACCTGACGGCCCCGTCGCCGGCGTGACAGCACCACGTCGGAAGCCCGTTCACCATTCCGCACGAAGGTGTCGAGCCCGAGCCAGAAGGGAAGGTGCCACTTGCCGAGGTGGACGAATCGACGCCAAGGCTGTTTCCGCTGCAGCTGCTGCACGAATCCCATTCCGTGGTCGGCGGAGCTGGTGGCCGGCGCGCCGCACCTGCGCTCGGCGGCGTCCATCCTGCACGACGCGTTGCAGGAACTCGAGGAGGAGTTCGACAGCGGCACACGCGTGCACCACCGATCTGTCGCTCGGAAACTGGCTTCGTGGCGCCCCGTCATCATCGCCGTGCGAGACGGGCAGCACCAGGAAGCCGGCGCATACGCAGACGTGTATGTCGCCCCTCGCTGTGCAAAGTGTGTGTGCAGGCCTGGCATGGCCTGCGTCTCGACAGCCCACGCGCCGACCTGGTCTGCAACGAGTAGCAGCACGTTCGCCGACGGGTTATGTCCGAGCGCCGTCGCGTTGACGCCCCCGAATCCATCGCCACCGGCGCAGAGCGCGAGGTTGGGAAGCGAGAGGAGAGCGACGAGCGCGGCCACGCGCAGAGGCAGCGGCAGCTGCCTCGGAGTGGGCTCGCGACGGCGCGGCGGCGAGGGCGGCGGCTGCGTAGAGGCCATGGCAGGAACCCTCTAAAACACTTGCTTGAGCGGCCTCGCTTGAACCGTCGTCGTCTCTAAAACAAATCTCTGGAGCATCAGCGACCCACCGCGAGGGTTGCTCCCGACTCTGGCCTTTTCTGGGTCACGTAGCCACACCTCGCCTCCTTGGTGCGAGTGGCTGCCAGTTCGACTCTGGGGAGGATCGAACCATTAACAAAAAATCTCTCACTCTCTCCGTCTCTAGCCGAGGTGGAGCACTTGGTCTTGGAGGGCGCCTATTTTTTTTTGAGAGCGCCTTCGTTGTTAATAATAACACAGACGGATGGACATTTGCTGAAGCCACACGACATGCACACACACTCACACCGCACCGCACCCCGCACCCGCGCGCCCCCCCCCCCCCGGCCGCCTCGCCTGAGCTGGAACGTGGAAGGAGATGGGAAGATGGAACAGCCCAAGGGAGAAGCGAACGAAAACACGTATGGGAGGTTGAAGTCATGCACCACGCTGCCAGCACGCTGCCCGGCGTCTCTCACTTTCCGGGACAGCCCCGCCCTTATGAGGCAGGAAAGTGGTGGCTACCCCGTTCGCACTGTTGGCTGTTACCACCTCGCCGACCGCCCAGACTCCCCTCCCCCGTCTCCAACCCTGACGAGCCGACAAATGGTTGAGCCTTCGGCCTTGCGCGCCCCCGCCCTCCGCTGCCCCCCACCGGCCCTTCTGACACACCCCCGACACGCACATACTTATGTCGTCTAAGTTCATGGCCCCCGACCATACAGCGTCTAAGTCTGAGCCCGGCTCCGTGCGGGGGCTAGTTGAGCGCTCGCTCGAGCTGCAGAGGCTAAGTGTAGAGCGACCCTCTAGCCCTACTACCCAACCATTGCTGTCTGTGTCGTTGTGCCCTTGTTTGTTCTCTTGGCACCTTGGAGTGCTGGGGGGGGGGCGGGGGGGCGACACGGGGGACGTGGCAGCCCTGAGTGATGTGTACGCCAACAACTCAGGGTGTGTGGCAGCCAGCTGGCTGTGTGTCTTGTGAGCCTGTTTGTGTCTGTGTGTTGCTCATGCGTGTCGTCATCATCTGTCTAGCGTCCACCCATACCGCGTTGGTGTCCAGTCCGAGCCTGACTCCGCTCGCGCATGTATGTAGCACAGGTACAGCAGGTATCTCTCCTCGTCATAAAGTACACGATCGCCAACTCGAGCTGGCCGCTCCACAATGGCCTCTGTCTACGTGCCTCTGAGGGCCTCGCTGGACTCCTCCTTGAGCACAAACTTCTGCACCTTGCCGCTCGCCGTCAACGGGAACCGGTCGACGACGCGGAAGAACTTGGGCACCTTGAAATGCGCCAGCTCGGTCCGACACAGCGCCTCGATGGACTCGATGACGGCCTACGGGAAATGTCTTGGACATGTCTAGGACGTTATCTGGACATATACCGACCCACTCGACAACGGCTCGCGGCCGCGTCGCACTGCTCCGCGCCGCCCTCCGCCACTGGAGTGTTGAGCACGACGCAAGCGCAGACCTGCTCGCGTGTGGGTTGAGGGCGCGTGGGTGAGGGCGTTGAGGGTGAGGCAGACGCCGTCTACTGGTGTGGGGCAACCCAACCCCCCCCCCCCACACACACAAGCTCCACGCCGTGGGGCGTTGAACGTCCGAGGCCTGGTGCGCGAGGCTGTGCGTGCAGGACCGGGAGGCTGGGCGCTTGTGTGAGCAGCGCATAGACAGAGCTCGCATGCAGAGAGGCCGTTCTTGCGTTCGCTTTTCTGGGACCCGGTGATGCCTTCTGACTGACTGTCGTCGCTGCTGTCCGCTCCTCGACGGTCCGTTGGGTCGTGCGTTTGTAAGAGCAGCGCAACCTGCTCTCCGTAGGTCGCGTCGTCGACGCCGACGACGGCGACGTCGTAGACGTCCTCGTGCCTAGGAGGGCTCCGAGACAGTTCCGAAAAGGCTCCTGTACGGCGACGTCGTAGACGCCTCTCGCGCCTCAGGATGACCTCCTCAACCTCCATCGGCGCGATGTTCTCGCCGCCGCGAATAATGACGTCCTTGCGCCGCCCCGAGATGGTGCAGTACCCCTGCGCGTCGATCGTCGCGAGGTCTCCGGTCCGGAGGAAGCCATCCGCCGTCATGACCTCCCGCGTCGCCGCCTAGACGGTTGCCAGAAGGCTGCTAGAAACTTCCTTCGAGGGCAGCGGGTCCTCTCGCGTCGCCGCCTCGTCGCCCCAGTAGCCCCCGCCCATGACCGAGTACCCGCGCGTGAGCAGCTCGCCCTGCTCGCCCACCGGCAGCGTCTGGCCGCTCTCGGGGCAGACGACCTTGCACTCCACGTGCGGGTGGACGTGCCCCACCGTCGAGCAGAGCTTCTGCGCGTCGAAGCGGCCGCCTGAGGGGAGGGCGAGGGCGAGGGCGAGGGCGAAGGGGGGAAGGGGGGAGGGTGAGGGGTGAGGGTGAGGGAGAGGGGAGAGGGGAGAGAGGGGAGAGGGGAGAGGGGAGAGGGGAGAGGGGGGAGGGGGGAGGGGAGAGGGGAGAGGGGAGAGGGGTGAGGGGTGAGGGGCGAGGGGTGAGGGGTGAGGGGTGAGGGGCGAGGGGTGAGGGGTGAAGGGGTGAAGGGGTGAAGGGGTGAAGGGGTGAAGGGGTGAGGGTGAAAGGGGCGAAGGGCGAGGCACCGCTGAGCGAGGCGGGGACGGACTGGAAGGAGACGGGGCTGGTCTCCGTCATGCCGTAGCATACCGTTAGGTCCGCCATGTGCATGTCTCCCCGCACCCGCGCCATGGTCGAGACAGGGCAGAGCGAGCCCGCCATGATGCCGGTGCGGAGCGACGAGAGGTCGAACGAGCCTGTGGGACGGGTCGTGGACGTGTCATGGACGTGTCTGGCGTGTGTCATGGACGTGTCTGGCGTGCCATGGACGGGAATGGACGTGGACGAGAGGCGGGGCGACGAGAGGTCGAACACACCGAAGTCCGGGAGGGCGGGGGGGGCAGGGGGGGATGGGGGGAGATGGGGGGAGATGGGGGGAGATAGGGGGAGATAGGGGGAGAACGAGCCGAAGTCCGAGAGGGCGAGCTGCGCAAGGAACATCGTCGGCACGCCATACAGCGCGCTGCACCGCTCCTCCTGCACCGCCTGCAGCGCCGCGCGCGGGTCGAATGTGCGCGAAGGGAAGACGATGGCGGCGCCGGTGGAGATGCACGCGAGCGAGCCAAGCACGAGGCCGAAGCAGTGGAACAGCGGCACCGGCAGGCAGACGGCGTCGTCCGACGTCAGCCGCATGCCGCGGGCCACAAAACGGCCGTTGTTGACAATGTTGCGGTGTGTCAGTCCGACCGCCTTAGGCAGGCCCGTCGTCCCAGATGTGAACTGGATGTTGGTCACGTCTTCGTGCGACAGCGCCGGCGCCGCCGCCGGTGCGCGGCTTCGTTCCTCGAGCCCGTCGCCGCGCAAGGACGCGGCGGCGAGGCCCTGGTCCCGGCTGCGCTTCCCGCCCTCGAGCACGTCGGCGTAGGCCATCGCCATCGGGTGCTGCAGACTGCTCGCCGCGGCGCGGCTGCAGGGCCCACCAGCGCCGCCCGAGAGTGCGATGACTCGCTCGAGAGAGGGCACGGCCTGCCCACAGCGTGAGGTGTGAAGAGACACTGCCCCACTGCAGAGACGACTCGCTCGAGGCAGGGCGCGGCCTCCTCGGCGGTCTGCAGCAGCCGCTCCACCACTGCTGTGTGGTCGCTCCTCGCGCCGCCGGGGCAGAAGAGCAGCGCCTTGACGCCGGCGAGCCGTAGCGCGTGCTGCAGCTCGGCCAGCTTGTACGCCGGGTTGAGACAGGTCAGGATGGCTCCGATACGAGAGGTCGCGAGCTGCATCACGACGTACTCAGCCACGTTTGGCAGCCAGCAGCCGACACGGTCGCCACTGCCCACACCGATGCTGAGTAGCCCCGCCGCCGCTGTCGCCACCTGCTCCTCCAGCTCATTCCAGCTGTACCGAATACTCTGAGCCGGGCTGGAGAGCGCCAGTCTGTCTGGCGTCCGTCGGACCGTCTCGCAAAACATTCCGTCCACCGTGAGCTCGCTCAGCGGCTCCGAGGTGTCCCCGATCACGTGCGAGAGGCCACCGCGCACCAGCCTGCTCGTCGGGTCGACGGAGGAGGAGGCGGCTGCCGTCTCCCGCAAGCCGTGCATTGCGCGCAGTGCATTACTTGCAAACGCCTCTGACTGAACGCAACGTGCAGGCTGCCTTCGGGCGACTCTGCGCGCACGCAAGGCGGTGCCTCGCCACGGGAGGCGGGACGAGAGCGACTTGCGCATAACGGATTTTCGGCGGATTCAGCACCTACACGGGACTGAAAAAAGAATTTACAGAACGCGGAAGGAAGAAAAGAAGGCCCGTAACCCGATGCCGAGCGTCCGGCCAACTGGGTGCGCTTCTTAGCTCCCCGGTCCTGGACGTGAGGTTAATGACCGCACTCCAAGTGCTCCAAGTGCTCCAAGCGAACCTTGCGTTGTTTCATGCAACATGCCAACAATATACCTAAAACAAGGCTAGCTCGAAATTAATCGGAAACGGTCGATAAAAAAGAAAGTACTGTAGCTCGCCCTAGCCCGTAACCCGATGCCGAGCGTCCGGCCAACTGGGTGCGCTTCTTAGCTCCCCGGTCCTGGACGTGAGGTTAATGACCGCACTCCAAGTGCTCCAAGTGCTCCAAGCGAACCTTGCGTTGTTTCATGCAACATGCCAACAATATACCTAAAACAAGGCTAGCTCGAAATTAATCGGAAACGGTCGATAAAAAAGAAAGTACTGTAGCTCGCCCTAGCCCGTAACCCGATGCCGAGCGTCCGGCCAACTGGGTGCGCTTCTTAGCTCCCCGGTCCTGGACGTGAGGTTAATGACCGCACTCCAAGTGCTCCAAGTGCTCCAAGCGAACCTTGCGTTGTTTCATGCAACATGCCAACAATATACCTAAAACAAGGCTAGCTCGAAATTAATCGGAAACGGTCGATAAAAAAGAAAGTACTGTAGCTCGCCCTAGCCCGTAACCCGATGCCGAGCGTCCGGCCAACTGGGTGCGCGCTTCTTAGCTCCCCGGTCCTGGACGTGAGGTTGATGACCGCACTCCAAGTGCTCCAAGTGCTCCAAGCGAACCTTGCGTTGTTTCATGCAACATGCCAACAATATACCTAAAACAAGGCTAGCTCGAAATTAATCGGAAACGGTCGATAAAAAAGAAAGTACTGTAGCTCGCCCTAGCCCGTAACCCGATGCCGAGTGTCCGGCCAACTGGGTCGTGCGCTTCTTAGCTCCCCGGTCCTGGACGTGAGGTTAATGACCGCACTCCAAGTGCTCCAAGTGCTCCAAGCGAACCTTGCGTTGTTTCATGCAACATGCCAACAATATACCTAAAACAAGGCTAGCTCGAAATTAATCGGAAACGGTCGATAAAAAAGAAAGTACTGTAGCTCGCCCTAGCCCGTAACCCGATGCCGAGCGTCCGGCCAACTGGGTGCGCTTCTTAGCTCCCCGGTCCTGGACGTGAGGTTAATGACCGCACTCCAAGTGCTCCAAGTGCTCCAAGCGAACCTTGCGTTGTTTCATGCAACATGCCAACAATATACCTAAAACAAGGCTAGCTCGAAATTAATCGGAAACGGTCGATAAAAAAGAAAGTACTGTAGCTCGCCCTAGCCCGTAACCCGATGCCGAGCGTCCGGCCAACTGTGACCGTGTGGGCACAAGCAGCGTGTGGTCGCCGTGTTGTTGGTTTGCAAATGGCCGCGTCGGCCGTATTTAACACACATGCACATGTACATGTGCATGCACATGTGCATGTGTCCAAGGTAAGGTAAGGTAAACGTCTCCACACACACAAAGTATGTGGGGCAAGGGGGGGCGACCCTCGCATCTCCACGCCCGGGTGCCGGGACACGGGCAGGTGTCCATGACCATGTGTGCATTGTGCAGTACGTGTACGCTCGAGGCCGCGCCGGTTATTCACACTATTTTTTCACATTTTTGTGCAAGTACAGTATTCTGACCTCTTCAGACCTTCTTCCCGAGCCCTGCTGCCGCCTCAATTGCCGCCGCCGCCGCCGCTATTCCGGGCGCCTGCAGCATCGCCTGCTGCACCTTCTCGGCGTTTGCCTTGAACGACGGCTCGTCGAGCACGCGGGAGACGGCCGTTGCCACCGCGTTGGCGGTACATCTCTTATGGTCCACGGTGATCGCGCAGCCGTGCTGCCTCAGCAGCTCGGCGTTGGCAGGCTGGTCTCCAAAGAAGGGGATGGATACGACTGGCTTGCCCGCCGAGGCGGTCTCGAGCACGCCGCCCCACCCGCAGTGCGACACGACGCACGCGAGGCGCGGCAGCCTCATGAGCTCAAGCTGTGGTATCCACGAGGCCACGAAGAGTCGGTCGGAGCCTCTCAGCGCCGCGGCGGGCAGGTGCGCCTGCGCCGCCTCTTTGAGCGACCAGCAAGTGACGCAGCGGCACAGCGAGAGAGCGTCGTGCAGCACGCGCACCAGCCGCTCGTCGAGTGTGGCCTGTGTGCCGGTGGTGATGTACACGAGCGGTAGATCTGACGGCGTGCTGTCGAGCCAGCGGAGAAGCGGCGCATGGCGGGGGTTGGCCGCGCTGAGACCGTGCGCCCGCGCGCTGAGCGGGAAGAGAGGTCCGGTCATGACGACGCTGGGCGGCAGCCCGGCGGGAGGCGGCGGGGCGTCTATTGCCCAAGTTGAGTTGAGCAGGATGATGAGGTCGCCAGCGTGCGCCTTGGCGATGCGCGGGCGCATCTCCTCGCGCATGAACCGGACCGCCTCCCAGCTCATGTGGCGCGGCCTAATGCACGGCAGGCAGCGCAGCACAGCGTACAGCTTGGGGATCACGGTCGTGATCATGTTGTAGATGGCGTAGTTGGCGGGCATGTTGATGACTAGCGGCAGATCATGCTGCGCCTCGGCGATCCAAAACCCGGCGAGCCCAAACAGGTCGGCCACAAGCACGTCTGGCTTGAACGCGGCCACTGCGGCCTGCAGCGGCGCGAGCTCTTGCTCGGCACAGTAGTAGACGAGTGGACCCTTGAGGCCCATAGCGGGCGGGCCCATCTGCAGGCAGATGGCCTCGTCGATCTCCGATGCGAGCCCGTGGAAGCTGCCGCCTGCCGCCTCCACGCGCGCAGCACACTTGGCGCGGCGGCACTCGGCGGCCGCAAGGCAGACGGTGAAGCCCTTGAGCGTTGAAAGCCCCTCCGCAAGGTGCGCCGTGGGCATCAGGTGGCCTAGGTGGGCGGCTACCGACATGACAGTTGGCCACGGCGTCTGTTAACAAAACTCGATGTCGGTGACCCAGTGCTGCGCCTGCCTGTTGCCGATCGAGAGCGGCGAGACGCACTCGCTTATCGGCTGCGCCGGCGGGCACAGAATCCATAAGGACTGCCTGCGCGACTGGCAGCGCACCGACTGTGCGCGCGGGCTGCGGTGCCGCGCGCGCTCTGACGCTGCGTTGAGCGGCGGCGGCCGGCAAGCTGTGCCGTGCCCGACGTGCTGCATAAACGAAAAGGGCTTCGGCCACCTGGCCATCGGCAGCGACGACGACGACGTCGACGACGATTACGGCGGCGGCGGCGGCGGCGGCGGCGGCGGTAGCGGCGGCGGCGGCGGCGAGGAGGAGGAGGGGGAGGAGGGAGAGGAGGTGGGCGGCGAGGAGAAGCCCGCGAAGCGAGCCCGCTTCAGCTTCACGCAGCAGCTCCCGGAGCCGGCGCGGCGCGCGGCGGGCGTGATCGCGTCCTCGGCCGGCAGCGCTTGCGGGGCGGTGTGGGCATGGGGCTCCGCGCAGCTCGCCTCGCTCAGCGGAGCGTGCAGCCGGCCGGCGCTGCCGCCGCCGCCGTGCCTCGAGGCGGCGGCCGCATTCGCGCGGGCGGAGGAGGAGGCTCCGGTGACGGGGGCGGAGGGGCACGGCGGCGAGGCGCGCAAGGCGCCGGACCGCAAGCGGAAGCGGGACTACACGGGGCCGCTTGGCCCCTTTGAGCAACCGCGCACCCCCCTCGGCCGCGCGCTCCTCGCGGACGCGAAGGCGGCTGGGGTGGAGCCGCCGCGATCGGCGATCTCAAACACCGGATACGTCGGCGTCCACTTTGACGGCACGAGGTATCGGGTGTACACGTACGGTGCCTTTACGTCGGTGCACCGTGCCACGTACCGAACGGCAGAGCACGCCGCGATCGCACGCGCGCGCGCCGTGTCGTTCCAACCCGGGACCTCAGCGGACGACGGGCGCTCGCGTGCGACAGACGGTCGACGGGCGTCGCTCTCCGCCGAAGAAGCGGTCGAGCAGGCGCGGAGGGAGGGCCTCACTCTGGCTGAGAGCAGCAGCAGCAACAGCGGCTACAAGAACGTCTGCTACTGCCCGAATCAGAAAGGCCGCATGAAGTACAAGGTGAATGCGACGATTGGCGGGAAGAGGGCCACCCTCGGCTACTTCGCCACCGCCGAGGAGGCGGCGCTCTGCTACGCCCGCAGGATGGCGGACAGCGGGCTTCGGCTGCGGGCGTCGGCGCTGCAGGCAGCGGCGCGCGGGGAGGCGGAGGCGGCGCTGGAGGGGGAGGCGCCGCTGCTCGTGCCGGAGGGGTTCGAGATTGTGGCGGCCTCGCCGACGGAGGAGCAGCTCGACCCGACCAGCCCGGCCAGTGACGCGCTCGTCGAGCAGCGCATCATGGTCCGCTTCGAGAACTACGGCTGGTGCGTGGGCAAGATTACGGCGAAGGTGAACGACGGCCGGCGCACGATCGAGCGTGACCGCGTCAACTTCGTCGCCGAGTTCAACGTTGACAACGGCGCGGCGACGGACCTCTCGCTCGAGTCGTCGATGTACGACTGCTCGCCGTCGGCAGAGTACCAGTCGTGGCTGCTGCTCGAGCCTGTTCCGGCGCCGACGGAGGCGGCGGCCCTGCCAGCGGCGGCCGGCGGCGCGTGAAGAGGTGGAACCGGCTGGGGCCGGGCGGTGGGCGGTGGGCGGTGGGCGGTGGGCGGTGGGCGGTGGGCGGTGGGCGGTGGGCGGTGGGCGGTGGGCGGTGGGCGGTGGGCGGTGGGCGGTGGGCGGTGGGCGGGGGGCAGTTGCTGCGCGTCCAGGCGCCGGACGGCATCGTGCCGACGCCGCTCAAGGCTGGCGAGGGTAGTGAGATTGGAAGGAGGTAAAACTATTAAAAAATCGCCGAGAAGGTTTTTTCTTTCATGTCGGTAGCCGCCCTGTGTGTGTGTGTGTACTTCCTGTACGCCTCGTTCACCAGACCCTCGCTCCGTGTACAGCTCACAGCTCACTACAGCACGCACCAAGGAGGCAACGGAAACGCTACCAATGACGCGAACCGAGGCACGGGCGACGGCGGGGACGGGGAGGGCGACAGCGACGTCGAGGTTGACGCAACGGTATCGAGAGCGCCACCCAAAAGGAGCCGGACAGCCATGGAGGTCACCGAATGGAGGGCGAACGGCACAATACGAAAAGGCAGGGCGAGGCGGATGGAGAAAGAAGTGCCGAGGAGGCCATGGTGGAGGGGAGGGACGGGAGGACGAAAGAAGGGCGAGGAGGACGAGCGGCCCGCACAGGCCGCGAGCAGACAGCGCCTGCTGGCCATCTCGAGACATTCGCAAAGAACGCTAGCTACATGGGAGGGCTTCGTGAAGGATGGATTGAAAAACATTCGAACAAAGAAGAGGCGACGGGAGGAACCGGCAGAGGATGCAGTGACGTGACACACACACACACACACACACACACACACACACACACACACACACACACACACACACACACACACACACACACACACACACACACACACAGTGCTCTGAATACTCTACGCGTGTACGCGATCGGTTTCCTTTTCTTCTTTCTAAGTGCCTCGCCGCCCTCGCAGGAGTCGCTTAGGCGGCTCCCGTGGTGTACCTGTGTTAGTGCCAGTGCGCGCCAGTCCCGTGCCCAGTGTTGTGCGAGGGAGTTTATGTATGTATGTAGGAAGGTGAAGAACAGCCAGGCTCGGACTGGACACCAACGCGGTATGGGTGGACGCGGGACAGATGATGACGACACGCACGAGCGACACACAGACACAAACAGGCTCACAAGACACACAGCCAGCTGGCTGCCACACACCCTGAGTTGGCGTACACATAACTCAGGGCCACATTCTCCCTGTCGCCCCCGCCAGCACTCCAAGGTGCCAAGAGAAACAAACAAGGGCACAACAAACAACAGACAACAGAGGCGAAGGGGGTGAGGCTAGAGCAGGCTTGCTCGGCCTCTAGCAATCTCCGCCGACCGCGAGGCCGGACTAGACCGTGTGTGGGGTCTTGTGAGGTGTCTCTGGTCACTCTCCTCAGAGGCTAGCCGCCAGCCGCTAGCCCTATCTCGCACTCACAGGCAATGACAATCCAATGGAGTTTGGTTGTAAAATTCTTCTTTCTAAAGCCCGACGGCCTTTGTTGTAGGCGTGCGCCCTCTACCGCTTCTACCAGTTCCACACCGTTGACGCGAATTCCCCGTGGCAAGCGAATGCGGGAATTACGCCATCTAACCAGGCGCTAATCATTGATTAGGGAGATGCATGCGATCTGCCTGGCGCTCGTATTGCCGGCGGTCGTGGCGCAGATGCGGGAGATTGCGAGCGCAACCGTCTGCTAATAACCTCGAATCTCAAACGCGGGAGAGTGCGAGCCGCGTCTGAGAGGAGATTGTTGCGAATCTCGACGAATCTCCGAATCTCAGATGCTTGAGATGATTGTGACGCCGCTGTCAGACGAGCTCCAGCAGCCGTGCACTCGGCCCCGATCTCCGAGACGGTCTCGTCGTTTTGTTGAGAGAATATTTTCAGCTGCGACGCAAACATAAGAAAAACCGGCGCCCACCCACTCGCGACACGCCTTGAGCTCACGATTCGCGGAAGCTCGCCGCTGTCGAGCGAGCCGCTGTTGAGCAGGCCACAAGGCGGAAATCAGGCCGAGGACACCAACGTGGCCGAGTACTTTGACCGCGGCTGGTGCTTCACAGAGGCCAGCTGGGCGAGCCTGACAAAGGCCTGGAGCCTCTCGCTCGACCTCGGCAAGATGCGCGACGGCAAGGAGTACGACTACTGGAGCCTCCCTCGACGACTGCACCCAGGACGGCGGCCGGCGCCCTCCGCTGCTGCCGTCTGTGTTCGCGGCGGAGCTGGAGACGAAAAGCTTCACCAACGGCAAGGACGACAAGCCGCTGGTGAAGCGGCTGTACGAGGCCGCCTTCGAGGAGCAGTTTGGCAAGGCGACCGTGCTGGGCTACAGCAGCCTTGGCTGGGGCGACGCGGAGGCGGCGCAGCTGTCGGAGGTCCTCGCGAGCGGGGCAGCGCCGCGGCTCGAGGAGCTCTTTCTCGGCGACAACAAGATTGGCGACGAGGGCTGCAAGGCGCTGGCCGCCGCCCTCAAGGAGGGGGCAGCGCCGAGCTCGAAGGTGTGAGACGCCTCCCCTCGCCACACGCCCCTCCCCCGCCCAATGCTCATCGCACCTCCCCTCGCGTGCAGACGCTCGAGCGGCATCAGGCTGGTCTGAGCCCACCAGCCCCGAACAAGAAGCTGGTGGCCGTGTGCAAGAAGCGCGGCATCAGGCTGGTTGGAGCTGTCTGTGTCCCCTGCGCTCGCCATGCATGTAGCGGCCGCTGTGTGTGTGAGTGTGTGTGTGTGGATGCGAGAATAGCTCCGCCGTTCATGGAGGCAACCTTGAGGACGCGCCAGGCCCGCTCTTCGACCTTGAGGACAAGCAGGGCTTTGCTTCGCTGACCGGCCTCGCCTCCGGCGGGCTCTACATACGAGATTGCATGAGATCGCACGAGCTCACACGAGATCGCACGAGATCTCATCTCCCGAGACCACACGAGGCCAAACGAGACCACACGAGACCACACACCCGAGATCACTACAAGAGGAACTTGTTCAGCAGGATCCAGGACAGGTCTGACGCACTACCTCACTGGGCCTGAGATCATCGAGACAGCGCCCGTCACCGTCTCGGGTTTGTGTGGAGTCGAACCAGCTGCCTACTGCTGCTAGTAGCCCTAACTCGCACTCATGGGAGATGTCAATTCATTGTATGAGTGTATGCGAGCAGAGGCGCGTGTGCTGATTCTAGATCGCACGCCGTGTCGCTTTGGTTGGCGACACCCACCCGTCTCTAAAAGAATTTGAGTGGCTCGACCCCACGCAAACCCGAGACGGTGACGGGATGCTGTCGTACGATGATCTCAGGCCCAGTGAGGTAGTGCATCTGACTATCCCGGATCGCCTGCTGAACAAGTTCCTCTTGTAGCTCGATCGGTCACACCCCCATCGCCGTCGGGGAGAGGGGGACGACACTGCTTCGGCAGCGTGCACCTCGATCCTGTACCGTGTTTGTTATGACCCCCCCCCGATGAACACACCAGTGAGGGAGGGCGAGACGATCGAGGGGTCCCGTACCAGGCGGAACCGACAGGAGCCTTCGCCAACTAAAAAACACAGCACCGATGCCGACTTAGTGTGGGGAGGGTCGGCGAGCACTCACTCACTAGGCGGCGCCGCAGGGCCGGGGCACTGGCCACGGCCTCGCCGACCACTAGAAGGCGGCCCACCCACTACGCACACCAACTTAAGTGCGCGGGGTGGCGGGAGGCACTCACCCACTAGCCTGCTCGCCCGCGGCCCACTCACTACGCGCACTAACTTAGTGCGCGGGGTGGCGGGAGGCACTCACTTCCGCGCACTAAGAGTTAGTGCGCGTAGTAGCCGAGCCCGCCTCCGTCCGCCGGCGAAGGGCACTACGAGCGGCCCGCCGGACCACTCCCCTCGCGGCCGGCCGGAGGCACTCACTTCCGCGCACTAAGTTAGTGCGCATAGTGTCCCGGCCTCCGACCACGACTCCCGGGAGCACTTCACCACTTGACCCGCCTCGGCGCACCACTAGCCCTCGTCCAGCTCACAGACTAACTTGCGTCGACTTAGTTCCCGCAGGGCCCGGGACCACTCACTCACTACAGCATCTGTGCTCTTCACACGACCTGGCGAAGGCTCCTGGAACCGACCCTTTCCAGTGCTCAAGTGCTCAAAAGAATTTCGTTCGCCGAGTCTCCCGCCGCCCAAGTGCTGCCCATCCCTCCGAGCCGCAGCCTCCATCCCTCCCTCGTCCATCCCGCCGTTTACACGTTCCTGGCCGAGGATGGAGGCACTATCATGACCGCTGACGTCAGCGTGGTGCTGCCGTGTGCGTACGAGTACGAGTACGCCGCGCGGACAGTCAGGTCTGTGTCGGCGGCGACGCCGCCCGAAATCTTGCGCGAGATAGTCGTGGTCGACGACGGCAGCACGCCTCCGCTTCGCATCCCCGAGCCGGCGCGGTGGAAGGCCTTCGTGGTTCGCCTCGAGAAGACGGGCGGCCTGATTCGCGCGCGGATCGCCGGCGCTGCGGCGGCGACGGGCGCCGTCATCATCTTCTTTGACTGCCACGTCAGGCCGATGGACGGGTACTGGCGCGGGCTACTCGCGCCGATCGAGGCAGACTACCGCGTCGCCACTGTCCCGACCGTCACCAGGCTGGATGCGGCGACGTGGCAGCCCGTCGGCAGCCCCACGAGAGGAGGCGCAAAGTGCTACCTCACCTTTGACGCCGATTTCAAGTGGACGTTCGACGCGACGGACGACGTGCCCATCATGAGCGGCGGGTTGCTCGCCATCAGTCGCCGCTGGTGGAACGAGACGGGCGGCTATGACAGCTCAATGCTCGGGTGGGGCGGCGAAAACATCGACCTCTCCCTGCGCATCTGGCGCTGCGGCGGAGCCATCAAGGCCGCCAAGGAATCGTACGTCGCGCACATGTATCGGGAGCAGGGCAAGCCCAAGACGGCGGCCCGCTTCCGCGTCCCGAAGGGTGCGCCGACGCGGAACCGCGCCACGTCCGCCCGCGCGCACTTTGGGCGGCTGTGGGCCAAGACGGCGGCGTTCCCGCTCTTTGAAGCGCACCGTCTCGCGCCACCCGACACGTCAAACATCGAGCGGTGGGCAGGATACGGGACACGTCCACGAACACGCCCACGAACACGCCCACGACACGCCCACGACACGCCCACGACACGCCCACGAACACGCCCACGACACGCCCACGACACGCCCACGACACGCCCACGACACGCCCACGAACACGCCCACGACACGCCCACTTGTATGCCGTCCGACAGCATGTCCCGGAAGCTTCCTGACATGTCTGGAGCCCTCCTCTAGGGCTCTGGCGTCGCTGCGCTGCCAATCTTTCGAGTGGTCTCCACCATCTCCCCGCATCTCCCCATCTCTCCCCACCTCTCCCCACCTCTCCGGCGTGCACCACAGGTACCTGCGCCGCTTCGCGTACACCTGTTCACGGCTAGAGGTGTGAAGAGACGATGTTCACACCACAGGTACCTGCGCCGCTTCGAGTACATCTACCGCGACGCGGGCGTGCTGCCCGGCTCCATCTTCCAGCTCGAGGGCGGCGGCCGCACATGCCTGTCGTCGACGACGGCCGAGCCGGTGATTCCGCGACACGCCCACGACACGCCCACGACACGTCCACGACACGCCCACGACACGCCCACGACACGCCCACGACTCGTCCACGACACGCCCACGACACCGCCACGACACCGCCACGACACCGCCACGACACCGCCACGACACCGCCACGACACCGCCACGACACGCCCACGACACGCCCACGACACGCCCACGACACCGCCACGACACCGCCACGACACCGCCACGACGCGCCCACGACACGTCCACGGCACGCCCACGACACGTCCACGGCACGCCCACGACACGTCCACGGCACGCCCACGACTCGGCCATCTCTCGTCCCCGACCGTCCCCGTGTTACGGAAGGCCCGCAGATCACCACTCAACAATCCCTCTGCCGAAACACCCCGTGCAAAGAAAGAGGGCCCACCAAGAACAGCAACACAAAAGACACAAAAAGTTTTTGCGGAAAACCCTGCTTGATGGACTCAGGTCCGCGGGATGGGGCAAGCCTACCCGGAGGCACTACGGGCGCTCCCCTGCAATGCGACTGACCCGCGGCAGTGGTGGCACGAGTCGAACCGCAACGAGACGGGCCGCTGCTGCTCTGGGCTGCGCCTCTGGAATGCAGGTGAAGCCCGCAAACGCAAGCCCTCCAGACGCGCAACCTCGGCGCAATCTCGACCGCATATCGCTCGCATCTCGATCGCATCGCCCTCCACCAACACGGCGAATTGTCGTTCCCAGGTTACCCGGCTCGCGAAATTTCTTTTTCCAGATCACCCGGTAGTGGGATTCACGACTGCGTCATTCAAGCAAACGTCAAACGAGGCCGGGGATTCCGAGTCGGAGCTCTCCTTAGGACCACGTGCCGCAGGTGCTCGCTCTCTGTCTGGACGAGGTTCACGCTGACCTTTGCGCCTAGCTAGGCAGCCGTCCGTGTCCGGGTAAGCTGAAACGAGATATTTTGCCCGAGCGGGTAATCTGAAAGAGAAAAGTATGTTAGCCCCCGGGTGATCTGGACGAGAAATTTGGCCGACCGGGTAATCTGACATGAGAAATGTTAGCGACCGGGTAAGCTGAAACGCGCATTGTGGGAGACTGGGTACACTGATTTGTCAATTTTTTGATGATTTTTGAGATTCGCCTCGCAGATTACCCGGCCAACGATATTTTCCTGCTTAGCGCGATTTCCGTCAAACCAGTTTACCCAGTCTCCCACAATTCATGTTTCAGCTTACCCGGTGGCTAACATTTCTCATGTCAGATTACCCGGTCGGCCAAATTTCTCGTCCAGATCACCCGGCAACGATATTTTCCTGCTCAGCAAAAAATCACGCCCCGCGCCCGGCGATCGCTCGCGAGCACCAGTGAGCACCGACACGTACGGCACGATCTTTGGGCGCAAGGTCGGGCAGACGATGCAGATCTTTGCGTACCTTAAGGTACTCGAGCGACACGGCAACGAACGGTGCGTCCGGCGTGCTCATCACCGCCCTCTCCTGGCAAACCGTCGAGGTCGAGTTTGCCAATGGCGTGATCGAGAGCGTCGCCGCCGAGAACGGCCTCACTGCGATTGTCAACGCGAACAACAAGGAAGTCGGCGTCGGCGACTTGGGTGGCTCGGGCGACACCTACCCGGGGAAAGGCACAATGAACGATGGGCTTGCCCATCCCGGAGTGGTTCGATCCCACACGAACCCGAGACGGTGACGGGAAGCGTCGTGCGATCTCAGGCCCAGTGAGGTAGTGCATCAGACTATCCCGGATCCTGCTGAACAAGTTCCTCTTGTAGCTCGATCGGTCACACCGCCATCGCCGTCGGGGAGAGGGGGGACGACACTGCCTCGGCAGCGTGCACCTCGATCCTGCACCGTGTTTGTTATGACCCCCCCCAATGAACACACCAGTGAGGGAGGGCGAGACGATCGGAGGGGACCCGTACCATGCGGAATCGACCCTATCCAGTGCTCAAGTGCTCAAATCTGTCAGTCCGCACGATGGCCATCACGCTCGCACCTGCCGACCGCCGCCACGGCGGCGAGACGCCTCTTCCGCCACCGCGGCGCCGACCACAGGCCAGCACTAAGCAGCTGCCGTCCACACCGGGCCGGATTTGCCGGTACTCGTCGCCGCACACTCCTGCGTCCACGCCGCTGTGACGTCTGGCCGAGGCGCCGACCGCCAAGCTCACCGCCAATGTGGTCGCTCGCTGGTCCTCTCGGCTCGGCCACGCATTAGCCCAGCTCACACGAGCTCCAGACAGCCACCAGTCGCCACGCGCAAAGCGTACGGGTCGCCGGCTCCCCGTTTTGCTCTCACGCTGGCCGGCGTGAAAACTGTGCTGGCAGTTGTCAAGCCGTACCCGTCGCGTTTCGAAAGGGAGCCCTCAGTCGACGCCTCTACACGCACCGCGGCACCACTCTCCACAACTGCTACTGTGGACATCAAGCTCCTCGACTCGATCTGCGGCTACGACGGCGCTCTAGCCGTGCTGGCTCTCGCGGGTGTCTGGCGACCCGCTCAGGCTTGCGAAACGGCCGGCCGCGGCGACGTGTTTCGAGCTCGGTGGTCTTCTCCACGCGGCTGCTCTGACACGAGAAGCATCGGGTCGAAAGACAGCCCGTGGTTCCGGAGGCACTGGGTGAGCGCCTCGGAAACGGCGCCGCACTGCACCTGCGGGGGGAGGGGAGATAGGCACATGGTGGGGAGACACTCGCGGGGAGAGGCACCCGCGGGGAGAGGCGGCGGTGGCATGGAGGGAGCGACTGTTGATTACGAGAGACGGGGAGGGCACTGGCCTGCAGCGTCGCAGAGCCAGTGAGGTGTGTCCGCAGCCTGCTGAGCCCACTGGACGCTGCTCGGAAAGGAACAGGACCATTATCCCGGGAGGTCATCGTCACCCGCTTACCGCGAGTAGATGGATCGGCCTGATGAGACGTAAGAGCGAATTCTTTGAAACACAACCTTTACCACTGAAGAACCACGCAGTCCTCCCTTCCTTCCCTTGGGTTGCCTGTTTTTTTGAACTCGGGGGCACGGGACGCGAAGCGGAGTATGGAACCGCCGATGATGACCTCGTGCGGGTCGGCCCCCAGAGCTCGGTGTCGAGCTCCTCCCGCCGCATCGGCGCGGCGGCAGAGCCGCCCCAGCCGCTGCGCCTTCGCCTGCGGAGGCTCCTGCGGCGGCTGCACCTGCTGCTGCGGGTGAGCCCGACGACGACGAGCAGCCTGACGGCGCGCGCATTCCAGACCTCGATGATGTCTTGGGCTGGGGGGGTGGCAAGGGTGTAGGAGGGCTCTCAGGAGACCGTTTGCCGGCAGCAGGGGGCGCGCGCTCGGCCGACATGTGCGCCAGAATGCCGCAGAAGTAACTATGAAGTAACTGTGTTTGGGCTGTCTCCCGGGCGTGTTTGAACCCTAATTGTCGGCCCCAGTGACCGGTCTAGAGGTCTGTGTGTGGCCTGGGGGGGCCAAATAATAAGGCGAGGGGTTCCTAGTAAGCGGTTGGGGGGTGCGAGCCCGTGCTATAGTGCAGTGAATACTTACTTCCTGAAGTAACTTCATCCTTCAGATAGACACTAGCCAACAGTCTCGGGGTGGCCCCTGCTTCCCGATGGGCTGGCTTCGCCCCGAGCCGCAGCTCATCCAGGCGCCAAACTGGCAGCGCGACGGCGCGGCGCACGCCGAGGTCGCGGCCACGCGCGCCGAGCTGCCCGTGCCCGCGCGCGGCTCCACCGTGCCGTGCGTCCGGGTCACCGCGGCTGGCGCGGCCGCGGCGGCTGAGGCGACGCTCGACGCGGGCTTCGAGTTTTGCCCTCAGCTCTCGCGGCTTGGGTACCCGCTGATGCTGCGGCGCGAGCCCGCCGCGCCCGCGCCCGCGCCGGACGCGGACGCCGCCGACGCCGCCGGCTGGGGCGGTTGGTCGGTGACGGCGGCGGAGCTGGCGCACAAGGCGCTGCTCTACCGGCTGATGACGGCGCCCGGGGAGGGGCTGTCGCCGCTGTGGGAGTTTGGCTCCTCGCGCGACGCGCCGCCGCCGCCCGTCCTCGCCGCGCGCGCCGACGGCCTCCCGCTGCCGGCGGGCGAGTGGGAGGAGCTCGCCTCTGTGTACGAGCGGAGGGCGCCGACGGCGTGGCAGCTGGTGCATGTGGAGGCGCACCGCTCGGAGGAGGCGTGCCTCACCGAGCAGGACTTCGAGGCGGTGCTGCGCGAGTGGTGCGAGCCCCGCGCGTGGAAGCCGCCGCCGCCCACCCTCGAGCAGCGCTACCCGCTCGGGAGGAGGGTCGAGGCGAGGGAGCTGTCGCGCGCAGAGCTCAACGGGGCGGTCGGCGTGGTTGCCGCGCACGACGAGGAGCGCGGCAGGGTCGGAGTCCGCTTCGGGGACGACGACGAGGCTCCGCCTCTCGCGCTGCGGCCCCGCAACTTGCTGCTCCTGCCGCCGCGACCAGAGTGAGCGGGCTGCAGGGGGCGCGCGATAGACCGCGATCGGATAGTGTGTATCGCGCTCGCGAAACGGCGCCACACACCGGCACAGCGGTCCCGGTGCTGCGTCTCGCTCCTGCGTACTTGCACCGTTTCAGTCATTCTTTCAGTAGTGCTAGAAAACACTCCCGACACAATTTTCCGACACACGGATACGCCGCACGGCTCTGTCGGCTGGCGCTCTCTCTCGACTCTCCCGGCTCCCGCGCGACCCGCGACCGGACCCCCGTCACTCCATCGTGGCATCGAACGGCCATAACTCTATACGCGCACAGCCCCCGCACTCCACCCACACGGGCTTCACGGCGAGCACGGGGGCGGGAGCCCTTCTCTCGCCAGCTTCTGGCATCACACCAGACTCGCCGAGGCTGCACGCCATGGCGCGGTGGCGGCGAAGACGAGCGCTGCCTACAGGACGACAGAGGAGGAAGGGTCTACGTCTCGTGTCTCGAGGCGGACGACGCCAACGTGTATCGGGCGCCGCGAGCGCAGACGCCGGCACGAGCAGCAGGAGAGAGGATCGGCCAGGCGGCGGCGCGTCCTTGCGGGAGCCATCCTCGAGGAGCGCGGCCGCTGTGCAAAAGCCTGCGGTGTGAAGACACGCATGTCAGGGCGGGAGCACGGCGGTGTGGTCGGAGCACCGCGTAAATACGCGGGCTGAGGACGATGACTCCAAGGTGAATGTGAGAATGAGTACAGTTGAGCACGTGTCCTCGCCGGTGCTAGCTCGACAACAAGGATCGGGGTCCCGCCTTCTAGGTGCAGTCGCCGCAGGTGCGTTGGCAGTGGGAGAAGGCGTAGGCAAACGCGTGGCACACATACGGACGGTCTGCGCAGTCGGGCGCCACATCTTGGCACGTCAGCTTTGGTCGTGGACGCGGCGGCGGCGGCGGCGGCGGCGGCGGCGGCGGCGGCAGCGGCGGCGGCGGGCCGGGCAACAGCAAGACTGGCGGCGGCGGCGCTTCGGTTTCCGAGCCTTCGTCATATAGCCCGGCCAGACTCTCAGCTGCAGTCGCGGTCACGGCTGCCCAAAACGCACCGGGGGCCTCTTCAGGCGGAAGAGGTGGGAGGGGCGGAGGCCGCGGGGAGGGCAGTTGCGGCTGCGGCGCGATGCTTATCGCAGTCCACCGCGGCGCCGGCGCGGGGCTCGGAGGCGGTGCGGGCGGGTACATTCACTAAACTGTTATCTATCAAT